CCCCAAGAAAACCAAGAAAAGGAACTCGCAACTCTCGGTGGCACTGATCACCTCTCATACAGAGCGGCGCATCATCGCTGCTGATCTGGAATCCCCCCCCCCCCTTTCTTCTGCCATTTAAAAAAAAGCCCTGGTGCAAAAAAACAGCGCACCGTGATGTAGCGCTCAGGACAGCAACGAACGGGGGATATAGCGCGGTTGCATGTTGTTGTTTTTTTTTTTCTTCCCCCAAATGGGAAATCTGGTGGGCAGCTGGCGTTTCAAGGAGCCGAGCACCGTGGAGGAATGCGACTCGACGTGGGAGTCGGACTCGGAGGGGGACGAGGACGACGACGGCGGCGGGGTCTCAGAGTCCGGCGGCCCGCAGGAGCGCACCGGGGAGAGCTCCCCGCAGGTACTCCGTGGGATGCTGGGGGCTCACAGTGGGTGGTTTTGGGGGGGTCCTCATCTGCATTCCGTTCCTGGAGATCCACCAGTGTCCAGCTGACGTAAAACTTTATTGGGGAAAAAAAATGGTATTCTCCATGTATTTCTGTTCATTTGCGCACAGGTTCAGGAGGAATCGCGCACACCACGAATGCAAAAAGAGTCATATCCGTTGTTAATTGTCAGGAATTATTATTATTATTATTATATGAGGTTTATGACCTTCACAGTATATGTCCTTTGTTTGGTGTTTTTTTGCTCAAACTCATGTGCTGATACAAACTTGCATGTGGTCAGACAGCAATATCCAGAGGATTTGATTCCAGTATTGACTTTGTTTTATCCCTAAATCCCAACCACGCACTACTATTTGTTATAATGGACTACTGTGTGTGTCCAGTTAAGCTGTACTTGTGTGATAATTGGCCTTTTCATTCTATTCTGTTTGATTAAACTAGTAGTTAACCCTATAATGCCAAATGTGTCATATTTGATACACACAGTTTCTGATGTCTTTTATAGACTTTTTGCATCATTCAGTGGTACAAGCTTTGCTCAAACCCCAGTTGTACACATTCAGATATACCTGATAACAGCGAGTAGAAGACTACACCAAAATATATTTTTGACTTATTGCACGCTAATTTGATCAAAATAATCTGTTTTTTTTCTTCATATGTTGCTGAGGGGCCAAAGAAACACTTCAGACTGAAAAAAAATCCAATATTCTTCCTATTTTTCTTGGAGAAGATGCAAGGTCTTTATTGGACTTTTGTCTTTTTTTTTTTACCAGAGATGTTGCAAAAGCCATTTTTGTAAAGTTAGGACTGACTCAGAATAACTGACAGGAGGCGGGTTAGACCCTGAACATGAACATGAAATAATATAATATTCAGGGATGGGGCAAAATGTATCAATTTTACACAGTTACAATTTTTGTTTGTGGTTTGCTATGTACAATTTGGAAACCAGCGTGCAATAAGTCTAACAGGATTACAGGCCCCAAATAAGGACCTTTTGACCAGTAGATGTTAAGCTGACCTAGATTATATTTGAGAATCAGGTTTAGACTTTAGAAATCCCTTTTGTAGCGATAGCACAGTGGCTCCGATGTGAATTGTCCTCCTTTGCCGGAATTAATGGATGATGACAGCCCTCGACCTCAAAAGCAAAGTCAGTGCTTTTGAATCAGAAAATAGCAGATGAGTGCCACGCCGCGTCTGCTCAGACAGAGGACGTTTATGTCTTTTTGTTTTGTTTTGGACCTGTATTTGAACTCAATTTATTTGTTAGTTCTTCATATCTCTCCTCTTAGAATCCGTTTTCATCCGCTTTTTGCCTCCTCTCCCAGCTGACCGACTCCCCAGAGTCCGTTCCGAGGATGAAGAGGAGTTTTTACGCTGCTAGGGATCTCTACAAATATCGTCACAGCTACCCGGTATACATCTGCACGAACACCTGGAACCCACAAATGTAGTCATACAGTTTTTCACTTTCTGTTTTCGCAAATATTAATGTAGATCTGCGTTATATTTTTCTTTGTAGAACCACCGAAAGTCCCGGCAACCAAACGAGTACCGTAACCTGCGCTTCTACTTGAACAAGATCCCTCTGGTGCCTGACGGTAAGTGTAATGTTGCCTCCGGCCAAAGGTTATTTTTTAATGGGGGGGAGTCCAGCAGATTTGTCAACTAATCAAATGTTTGAACGCACAAACTTCTCCTAAAAGGGCCATGGCTTCTAATTAGCCTCATTTTCGACTACAGGTGTCTACATAGAGGAGATTCTTTCCAAGTGGAGAGGCGACTACGACAAACTGGAGCACAATCACACATACATTCAGTGGTGAGTCTTTTTTTTTTTAGATGTTCTCACATTTTAAAAGCCAGGCAACTTTAAGACAGACATGGCTCGAAACATTATGTCGAAAACATTCTTTATTAAAGCAAATTTCAACAAATATAATGGTGGTACGATACCTTAAAATGTAACTTAAGTTCGTTCTTTAGTTGCCGATGTCCATCAAGCTTTACGTTTATTGGTGTGTTTACTCAAATGGTGGGTGGTGGATTGACTTACGCTTCAGCCCTTTTGTTTTCAGTTTTAGACGCGAGACATCTCCCAAACTACCAACATGCGAAATATCTTTGCTTTCTATACAAACGGTTGTGACATGAGAAGAAATACTCAGGCTCGCTGCAGCCCATATTTCTCATGGAGAATTGGAGATGAACGTCATGTGACATGTTTGTTTAGATGCCACGTTGCATTCTATCTTGCTATCTTCCGTGTGTGTACTGACCTTAATTTGGAAGTTTAGGTTTAATTTTTAGACGGACACAATAGAACTGACGTCTTATCAAATGGTAGTCCATTTCTACTGCTCATTACCAAATGCTATATGTGTGCTATTATGCATATATGTTGATAACCTTCATGATCGCAATAAATCTTGTTGTTGATTTGATTATGATAGTGACTCATAAAACCGCTTATCACTGCTTATCACTGAATAAAGCAAAAGCACTACCTGATGCATTATGGAGTAGAATAATTCAATTGCTTGTGTAAAGGAGTCAAAGGGGTCTAAAGATAAGTAGGACAGGTCAAGTTTTTGGCTTGCTAGGTGCCTGTGGACGTTTGAACGTCCAGCGTTGATGAGCATGGTCAGGTTTGAGCATTTAAAAAGCTGGGCAGTCGATATCAGAACACCTGGTGGACTGTATATTTTGATTTTCCTTCTTTCATGTATTTACCTATTTTTTTTACAGCTAGTCATGCTGTCATGCAAGTGACTGTATGAATAACAGGATGATTAGGTTGAGTTACATTGCCAGCATTATTGTTTACATAAGGATAACATTAATCAGAAGGAACTAAGAAAATTCAGTTTTTAACAGTGAAGTTATTTTTGTTTTTGATCGATGGACTTCCTGTTTGACTTTAGCACTAGTTCAACCTCAGCCGTGGCATAAGGCATACATAATGTTGACTGAATGACATCCAGCATGTTTCAAACCAATAAAATAAATAAATTGAAACGAATGAGGAAGCGACAGACATAGGGCTTCGTTGTACTGAACGCAGTGAGCATCTAGTGTTGATAGAGACTGCCGATCCGTTTTGATTTGATTTTAAATGTCCCTCTCCTGTCCGTTCACATCAGGCTGTTCCCATTAAGAGAACAAGGGCTCAACTTCTACGCACATGAACTGACTCAGGACGAGATTAAAGTAAGTAATGCAGAAGTTGTTTGGATTTTAGCATTATCTAAACTAAGATTCTGTGTTTTTATGGAAAAGTACACGCACTTAGCATGCATCTGTTCCAGTATTTGGCTCAGTAATCTCAACAAAGTCACACTCATCCCATTATGCGGACGAAATCCCAATTTTTATATTTTGCTCGACGTTTTCGGTTTGTCTCACTGGGTGGTCAAACAAGGACACCAGTTAAGCTGCTGATGAAATGCGAGCGATGCACGCGTAAGCTTTTGAAGCAGACTAAGGCTTTTGTTCTCTAAACTGCCGTTGCGTGCCTTTCACCTGGAGTTCCACAGCAGAGGAAAGTCACACTCGCAGCTATAATAGGTTATCCTACTCTACAGATGCCTTTGGTTAGTAGTAGTGGAAAAATGCCTGCAGCTAACCTAATAGCACGGCTTGTCAGAGGTCTCTATCACCTTAAACACACACATTTACACATAAACACTTATTTACACGGCTGAAAAAGCCCATTGACCACTGAAGTAAAGCCAGTGTCTTCATCTGGTTGGAATGGAATGCCTAAATTGTTTTAATTTCATAATTTCATAAGTGATTGCTATGGTTGAATGATTACAACTTTCATTTGCGATATCAAAAATGAGCATTTTATGGAAGTGACGATGCACGCTAGGCATTTATTTTGAAAAGTCAGAACACATTTTAAGTTATTTAACCTTTTAAAGCCTGATCCAAGAATAAAACAAAACAGAAAATTACTTTTTGGGGGGTTTGAATCCCTTATTTGGCCTTTTAACAAAATATGTAAAAAGAAAAAACAGAAATACATTTTTGATATTAATAATTCATTACTATGCGATAAGTCAAGATTATTTTTTGTGTAGTCTTCTGCCCCCTGTTATCAGGTGTATCTGATTGTGTACGTTAGGATTTTGAGCAAAGTTTTTACCATTAAATTATGCAAAAGGTGTCAGACACAAAACATTTCAGAAACCGTATGTATCAAATATGATACATTTGGCATTACAGGGTTAAATGGATACAAAAAAACACTCAATAATTATGGTAAATATACATCCTATGTTTAACAAAACCCAAGTTTTGGGGCTTTTTTGGAAATCAAATATTTGCTCACCACAACCGCGAGCATTTCTGCTGCTTATTTTCTAAAATATCTTTCAGTACAGTTTTTAATGGATTCAGACAAGTGAATCAAGTGATCTATGTAAAACCCAGTGTGTTTACATCTTAGTTTAATGTCTTAACATTCAGATAAGGATGCTGTTGCACGATGACTATTTCCTAGATTACTTCTTTACTCTAATCTCGAATGTTGATCCTCGCCAGGAATTCCAAAGCACTCGGGAAGCAAAGAGGAGATTCCTGGCAGCCTATTCCCTGATGCTGGATTTCTATGGCGTCAAACTACTGGATAAAAGTGGTAATGTTTCCAGGGCCCCTAACTGGCAGGAGCGCTTCCAGCACCTTAATGAGTAAGTTCTCACACACAAACACAAGTAATTGTTGGACTTGTGTGAAATTATTTACTTGAATGCCATTTACTGCTCATGTTCCCTTTGATTTCTCAAGGGAAACTTAATTGTCCCCAAATGTTAAACAGCATGTTTTCAGTCAACAAACAGACATTTAAAGATTAATTTAAAGACATATTTTGTTCTTTCAGATCTTCTAATAATAATAATTCTTTATTTGAGATAGTAAATGGTACTTCCTCATGCTTGAAGATCTCCACATCCGTTAGCAATATCTTTGCACATTTGGTTTTGATTGTTTAGCATGCTAACTAGCTTTTTACTTGAATAGCCACATCTAGTTTAATTTTTATTTTTTGCATCTAAAAAATGGCTGCCATCTCTTCCAACCATGAATTCAGATCTACCAGAACTCTCTCCCTCAGGTGAAGTGACCGTATTTTTCTCCCATTTTGTCCTTTTTGAAGATCCCACCACAACTACCTGCGGATCACTCGCATCCTGAAATCCCTGGGCGAGCTGGGCTACGAGGCCTTCAAGGCCCCGCTGGTTCGGCTCTTTTTGGAGGAGTCGCTCTGTAACGGGACCCTCCCCAACATGCAGCACAGCGCCCTGGAATACTACGTCTACACCGTCCGCCTGCCGGCCGCCCGCCGGCGCCTGCTCCGCTTCGCCCGCCAACACTACAGGCCGGCGCACGCCTTCCTCTGGGGGCCGCCCTCGAAAAAGCGGGGGGGCGGGAGCGTCGGGGCGGGAAGCAGCGGGATCAGAGCGCCCGCCCCCACCCCGGAGCAGCAGAGGAGGGGAGAGGAGACCGCCGGGTTCATTTTGTCTTCCCACAACGCCATCATGTGCCAGGGCCTCAAGGTCTGCCCGGAGCTCGGGTCCAACATGGCCGGGCTCCAGGGAGCGCTGGTGTTTGTGGGAGGCAGGGGCGAGAGGAACGAATACGACGAGGGCTTTCCTTTGTGAGGAAAAACGTTTTGGTTTTGGAAAAATGGCATTTTAGGACACGGGTCAGAACAGTAAAACAGTAGTGAAGGATAGCTGAACTTTTGAATATCTTTTGAAAATCTGATTAGAATCCTTTCAGATTAAGGGCTTAACATAAACACTGATCATTCTTTTAAAACCACTATTTACTTCAGGATCTTAATCAGTGGAATCATCAAAATTCATGTTGCTTTTTATTAACTAGGGCTACGCTCACAAAATAGTTCAACTAGATGATTGCCTTATCTATTGTTTTATTGTTTAACTCAAAAGTGGTTGCTTTTACTGACGACTATTTCAACAAAAGGTGTCCACTGACTGCTCTTGGTGTCAGTATGGTCTTCAGAATGAGACATGCCCGCTTATTAAATGTAAGTGGAGTCCCCCCGAGCAACAAGCTGGACTAAGCTCTTTTTTTTATCGGTGCGTCATAAACAATATAATGTGAAAGGGTTATCAGGAAGACTTTTTTTTTTGTCCTTACCTGGTAAGGGGACAAAAGCGTAACTGGTAAGCAATACTTAAGATCCAGCTTCTGTAGGATTAGCATGAATTATTCACATGTTCATGTCAATTATCGGCACAAATATGTTACTACTCTTGTGATTTGTATTGTCTGGATTTTTAAAGTTTGGAAATAGCCACTCTCTTCATGTAGCCACGCAGCTACAGAGCAAAAAAACAAAAACATCTTACATACTAAACTCTTACATACTTACCTTCTAAACTCTCTATTTTTCTATCTTTGGGAAACTTGTAAGAATAGAGAGGCTTTTGGTGACATTACTACTCATCACTTGGTAGAAGTTTGCCGCCAAAGATGGCAGTTTAAATATAGAAAAAGGAAATAATGTGTGTACAGCAGAGCAACTACTAAACTGTGGGATTTGAATTTGTGTAACAGATTTTAAATCATAATTTCCTACTGTGTTATAATAACTCCCTGTGCATGCTGGGAAAATAGGGAAATAGGGAAAACACTATCTCTGAACAAAAACTTCTTACTTTGCTCACTAAAGCAAACTAAATTTTGGTCATTGCAGTTAATCATTTGCTATGTCATGAATATAGATGTCTGAAACAGCAGTGTAAGTGAATGATTTATAAAAATCTACAAACATGTGACTTAATGCCTCACGTTCAAGCTGATTACCTTTTAAGATCACTAGTTTTTCTGGTATTACTTGTATGCTCCTACAATTATTGGCTGTAAATAAGGGATATAGTCCCTTAACCTGGTGAATTTGCAATATAGCAATGCCTTAATTCTGGAGTTAAGTCATTTATCGGATTTTACTCAACGAGGGGTAAATCCAGTCTTCATGTGATCTAACCACTTTCCTGGGTTATGGTCTTGATTAGAGGTAAAAAAAAAATCCTCTTTAGGGTAAAAAGTAATAATATCAGTCCAGTTTATAATTAAGTAATGAAGTTTGGTGGGTGGCTTACCCTTTGACTGGCACACTCCGAAACCATTGTATATTATTAGTTGCCCAAAAATACACAGCTGGAGGCTTGAAAGTTGTACTTTCCCTTTTCAATTGCTTCTAGTAAATGATCTACTTCCTCTTTGAAAGACATAACTAGCTATGACAAAATCCAACAGCCACATGAGCTGTGTGAGGGGATATTTTGAAATACCAATAACTGAGACATAAGGCCAGTACAAATTGGCGTTCAGATTTATTAAAAACAGCCTGATGTGTTTAATTTTTCACTGATTTTGTATGGTGAAAGTAATAAAAAAAGCTCCGTTAGCTTGTCAGTGTCAGCAGCTGTTTGCTGCAGTAGTTTAAGTTTTATTTTAGAGCTGGAATAAATGCATATTAATTAACTAAATAATAGTACTAATAGCTATTTCCACATAATCAGACTACTGTAGAAGCTAATTTAGTCAGTGTTGTTAACCATAGCTTATACAAATTAAATTTGCTGATGTATATTAAGCTGCCTTAGCATGTCATTGCTAGCAACAATGCTATATTTCTTACATATAAAATACTCGTATTTTGGTCTGTAAGAGGTTGCAAGTGATTTGTTATCATAAATACACAACTGCAGGCAGTTGAGATTTATAAGGTGGAAACGGACTTGAAATTATACAACTAACCAATGTGGTTGGTGTTGAAATAACTATTAATTAAGCTTGATTGGTGTTTCTGTTTTGAATTATTGAGGAAAACAACGATGCTTTCTTTTTGTAGAAAGAGTGGTAGCTCCGCTGTATTTTTGTGGCTTGACGCTGGCATTTTAAAAATAATCATTAAGGATATGACCATGTCAGTAAAAGCTTGAAACTGTTCATAATAATATCATTCTAATGGCTACCATTGTGTAATGTCATCTCAGCCTTCTCGCAGCCTTCTATACTTAACTAAAAATGTAACTGGATGTGGATATTTTGTGACGTTAGTGTGATCACACTGGTGATGTGTGATGCTTCTTTAAAATGTCTTCCTGTGTAAAGTACTGTAGGTTTATTAGAATTGCAGCACATCTCATGGAGAGAACAGCTCTTTCTGAAATGATCCAACTGGGCAATAATCTGACTATTTGTAAAGAATTCACATTATACATAGCTTTTAATGATCTTTTAACCTGTGAATTTGAGTGAAACAACATATAGGGCTAAGTTTGTAGATATGCAGCAGCTTTTTTTGGTCAAATAGACAGTCTTATCTTTGTTTTAGATAGACTATCCAGTGGAGGGGGGAAGAAAAAACATGTAACCCAGAAAATCACAGTAGTAATAAGAGTGCAGGAGTCATATAAAATGCAAAATCCTGCATTATTTATATTCTTTAAGCTTAGGAACAGCTCTAAGATGCTGTTAACAACATATGATCACATAACTTAGCTTGTGTTTAGATTTGAGACAATAGTGTAGATATATTTTTAGTCCATTGTGTGTTTGTTCACAGTAGATGGAAATCTGTGAAATAAAAAGCCTCTGTAGCTGACACAGACCTTTCAGGTTTAAACACCTGATTTCGTCAGCTCTTCTTTCTGTAGGCAGTTAATCGTTCGCTGACAAGGTTTGAACATCCGACGGCAGCTGAGCAATCTGACAAAATTGTAAAGGTACCATTCAGGTGGATTGTATGATAACACGGTATTTGAAGTTTTTTTGTACTGACCACATGTGTGATTGGGTGTCTGATATTCTTAAGTGCCTCTTTTGTATGTCTTTTTATTTGTCTGTATGCAGAAAGGGGTGTTTTTATCAACTTACCTCTTGTACATCCTGTTTTGGTACGGCGTTTTTGATATTTAATTTATTCTTTGCATTATAGTCATAGTGTAAATAACAACAGCAAAATTAAGTATTTTAAACAGTTGCTATATAGAAGTAAGTACTATATTATACTTGAAATTATTTGTATCTATCTTATTCGACAAAGTGATTCTTGGATAGAATGTTCATGTTTGTCTTTGTTTTCCCAGCACAGACAAGATGCCAGAACTTTACATTTGCCCTGAAATGTGCATTTTGTCTCAGTTAACTTGCAAATAAAATGGGGATATTAAAACAAATGTCTTCGGATTTGCATAATGCATGTTGCACTGTGCATGAAACGGTACGGAAATATAAATGAAAAATGATGTGTTTGCCTATTCTTCAATTAGATGAGATGTGGTTAAATGTTTATAACAAATCCATGACAACAATAGCTATGCTTTCACCACCCTTCTTTTCTTATATTATCTCTATATGAAGATTCTGCTGCTTCTCTGGGAAAACACATAAGAGTCATACCTGTTTTGATGTGGAAACACTTAAATGATGTTTCCCATGATGTTTCCCTCCTACTGCCCGTAGGAGTGATACTTTAAAGGAAGAATCAAATTACGCATATGATAATGTCGGTCAGAGGAATTGTTGCTCGGTTTTTGTGTCTTGTCTATGTACAATTTTTGTTTGGTGAAACAGAATAATTCTAAAGTTGACAGGGATTTAAGAAAACAAACAAACATGAAAATTTTTTCCAGGGACAGAATCTAATGAAGGATCTAAACTAAAACATTGAGCACATACACAAAAAGATCCAGTAGTGTAGATTTTCCCACTATTTTTGTGATAGTTATTGTCAGATTTTTTTCTTTAACATGGATTGCAAATACAACCCATATTTGATCAAATGCTCCATGAATTAGAATTTGGTTGTTAAAATAATTTTGTTTACTTCATATGACAGGAAATAAAATACAACAAATGCTACCATGGAAAATAGTTTTTTTTTCGAATAAAAAACCTTTGCCAATGCAGTATATATACATATATAATAAAAAGTAAGATTTGAAGATGTTTGTTTATTCTGGTGTCAATGCCATTTATATCTGATAGTCTATATGTGGAGAGCAGCTTCTCAGTGCTCTGAAAGTCAACTTCAGGTTTGATCCAAATGAGGCATTAATTCTATTTACATGGAAAACTTACATATAAAAGTGATTCTGTATCTAAATCTAAAGATGTGTAAACGTGTTCATTTTTACAGGATTGCAATTGATCAACAAATGAGGGAAGAAGACACACTTAGACTACTGGAACCATTGACAGAGCTGATTCAAATTCCACTTGGGTCCCTAGAATAAGGTAGTGGATTCAAACAAACAATGAATCCAAAGGAAGGATGCGGGAAGAACAAGAAACTGTCTTCAACTTATTAACTCAAAACATAGGAAAAAACAATCAGAGTCCGAATGAAAGCTATTATTAAGAACAAAAGAGGCTGTACAAAATATGAACTTTTTAGGTTATTATGAGGGAAAAAAAAGGCCTGCGACGGACTGGCAACCTGTTCAGAGTGTACCCCGCCTCTCGCCTGTTGTTAGCTGGGATAGGTTCCAGCACCAACAGCGACACTGAATAAGAGAGAGAGAGAGAGATGAGACTACATAAAGGCAAAACTTTTCAGAGTGTGTGTCCAAAGGTCAAAAGTTTGATATGTAATAAGTATGGAGTATCTAAAACTAATAACTGACAATAACTATCACAATAATAGAATGAAAATCCACACTACCGCATCTTATTGTGCATTGTTTTAGTTTAGTTTATATATATATATATACATGAATATACAGTTAAGAAAGTGGATTAATTCCCTCTGCATGAATAAAAATATATATCTCTATGTTGGACATGGACACGATAACCGAAATGCAATCCTTTTAAAATGCTAGTTTTGATCTTGTTTATTTGAAATAGGATTTTTTTAAAGCAAGGTTTACTGAAAACCCACAAACCTCAATGAACAAAAACACTTCACGTTTTTGCTGCTGAAGCTGGTTCTAGAAGCTAGGGCATCATGGGGTATGGTTAATTATTCAGGCAATGTGCATTTGGCTTTTTCTTTCTCTCGAAAAAAATAAGGTATAATATGTTAACCGTGTTGTTACTCATTTGAGGTACTATTTAGCTGATTTCACTAAGGACCAGATTTAGATTTCATTTTGATTGTGAAAACAAAACTTGACCAAGGGTTCATGGTCTTGTCTTTTGGGTTTTTAGATTGTTTTTAGATCACAGCAGTGGAAATGCTGTTGCTAATCTGTGTTTGGTATCATAATGCTGCATTTTTTTAAAGATTTGACCCCCTGTAGCTCAAGAAAAACTACCAAGATCAACTCATCAAGCAATATGATATGGACATTACAGAGAAAAAAATGTAAAGGTAAAATAAAGGTAAAGCAATCTTTAATATTTTATGTTAGTCATTACTTTAACATGTAGCCAAGGCACCATAAGACATAAATAATAAGAGGTGCTACAGCCTGGGGTCCTCATCCTAACATAAAGATGGTGCATTTACTCCCCCCCATCTT